CCTTCCCCCGCTCCCTTCCCCGGCTCCCTTCCCAGGCGGCTCCCTTCCCCCGCTCCCTTCCCCGGCTCCCTTCCCCGGCTCCCTTCCCCGGCTCCCTTCCCCCGCTCCCTTCCCCGGCTCCCTTCCCCGGCTCCCTTCCCCGGCTCCCTTCCCAGGCGGCTCCCTTCCCCGCTCCCTTCCCCCGCTCCCTTCCCCGGCTCCCTTCCCAGGCGGCTCCCTTCCCCGGCTCCCTTCCCCGGCTCCCTTCCCCGGCTCCCTTCCCCCGCTCCCTTCCCCGGCTCCCTTCCCCGGCTCCCTTCCCCGGCTCCCTTCCCCGGCTCCCTTCCCCGGCTCCCTTCCCCCGCTCCCTTCCCCGGCTCCCTTCCCCGGCTCCCTTCCCCCGCTCCCTTCCCCCGCTCCCTTCCCCCGCTCCCTTCCCCCGCTCCCTTCCCCGGCTCCCTTCCCCCGCTCCCTTCCCAGGCGGCTCCCTTCCCCCGCTCCCTTCCCCGGCTCCCTTCCCCGCTCCCTTCCCCCGCTCCCTTCCCCGGCTCCCTTCCCAGGCGGCTCCCTTCCCCGGCTCCCTTCCCCCGCTCCCTTCCCCGGCTCCCTTCCCCGGCTCCCTTCCCCCGCTCCCTTCCCCCGCTCCCTTCCCCCGCTCCCTTCCCCCGCTCCCTTCCCCCGCTCCCTTCCCCGGCTCCCTTCCCAGGCGGCTCCCTTCCCAGGCGGCTCCCTTCCCCCCGCTCCCTTCCCCGGCTCCCTTCCCCGGCTCCCTTCCCCGGCTCCCTTCCCCGGCTCCCTTCCCCCGCTCCCTTCCCCCGCTCCCTTCCCCCGCTCCCTTCCCCCGCTCCCTTCCCAGGCGGCTCCCTTCCCAGGCGGCTCCCTTCCCCCGCTCCCTTCCCCCGCTCCCTTCCCCCGCTCCCTTCCCCGGCTCCCTTCCCCGGCTCCCTTCCCCCGCTCCCTTCCCCCGCTCCCTTCCCCCGCTCCCTTCCCCCGCTCCCTTCCCAGGCGGCTCCCTTCCCAGGCGGCTCCCTTCCCCCGCTCCCTTCCCCCGCTCCCTTCCCCCGCTCCCTTCCCCGGCTCCCTTCCCCCGCTCCCTTCCCCGGCTCCCTTCCCCGGCTCCCTTCCCCCGCTCCCTTCCCCCGCTCCCTTCCCCCGCTCCCTTCCCCGGCTCCCTTCCCCCGCTCCCTTCCCAGGCGGCTCCCTTCCCAGGCGGCTCCCTTCCCCGCTCCCTTCCCCCGCTCCCTTCCCCCGCTCCCTTCCCCGGCTCCCTTCCCCGGCTCCCTTCCCAGGCGGCTCCCTTCCCAGGCGGCTCCCTTCCCCCGCTCCCTTCCCCGGCTCCCTTCCCCGGCTCCCTTCCCCGGCTCCCTTCCCAGGCGGCTCCCTTCCCCCGCTCCCTTCCCCCGCTCCCTTCCCCGGCTCCCTTCCCCGGCTCCCTTCCCAGGCGGCTCCCTTCCCCCGCTCCCTTCCCCCGCTCCCTTCCCCCGCTCCCTTCCCAGGCGGCTCCCTTCCCCCGCTCCCTTCCCCCGCTCCCTTCCCAGGCGGCTCCCTTCCCAGGCGGCTCCCTTCCCAGGCGGCTCCCTTCCCAGGCGGCTCCCTTCCCAGGCGGCTCCCTTCCCAGGCGGCTCCCTTCCCCCGCTCCCTTCCCCCGCTCCCTTCCCCCGCTCCCTTCCCCGGCTCCCTTCCCAGGCGGCTCCCTTCCCCGCTCCCTTCCCCGGCTCCCTTCCCCGGCTCCCTTCCCAGGCGGCTCCCTTCCCCGGCTCCCTTCCCCCGCTCCCTTCCCCCGCTCCCTTCCCCGGCTCCCTTCCCCGGCTCCCTTCCCCCGCTCCCTTCCCCCGCTCCCTTCCCCCGCTCCCTTCCCCCGCTCCCTTCCCCCGCTCCCTTCCCCGGCTCCCTTCCCCCGCTCCCTTCCCCGGCTCCCTTCCCCCGCTCCCTTCCCCCGCTCCCTTCCCCGGCTCCCTTCCCCCGCTCCCTTCCCCGGCTCCCTTCCCCGGCTCCCTTCCCCCGCTCCCTTCCCCGGCTCCCTTCCCCCGCTCCCTTCCCCCGCTCCCTCTCCCCCGCTCCCTTCCCCCGCTCCCTTCCCCGGCTCCCTTCCCAGGCGGCTCCCTTCCCCCGCTCCCTTCCCCGGCTCCCTTCCCCCGCTCCCTTCCCCCGCTCCCTTCCCCGGCTCCCTTCCCCCGCTCCCTTCCCCCGCTCCCTTCCCCCGCTCCCTTCCCCGCTCCCTTCCCCCGCTCCCTTCCCCGGCTCCCTTCCCCCGCTCCCTTCCCCCGCTCCCTTCCCCCGCTCCCTTCCCCCGCTCCCTTCCCAGGCGGCTCCCTTCCCAGGCGGCTCCCTTCCCCCGCTCCCTTCCCCCGCTCCCTTCCCCCGCTCCCTTCCCCCGCTCCCTTCCCCGGCTCCCTTCCCCGGCTCCCTTCCCCCCGCTCCCTTCCCCGGCTCCCTTCCCCCGCTCCCTTCCCCGGCTCCCTTCCCCGGCTCCCTTCCCCCGCTCCCTTCCCCCGCTCCCTTCCCCCGCTCCCTTCCCCGGCTCCCTTCCCCGGCTCCCTTCCCCCGCTCCCTTCCCCCGCTCCCTTCCCCCGCTCCCTTCCCCCGCTCCCTTCCCCCGCTCCCTTCCCCGGCTCCCTTCCCCCGCTCCCTTCCCCCGCTCCCTTCCCCCGCTCCCTTCCCCGGCTCCCTTCCCCGGCTCCCTTCCCCGGCTCCCTTCCCCGGCTCCCTTCCCCCGCTCCCTTCCCCCGCTCCCTTCCCCGGCTCCCTTCCCCGGCTCCCTTCCCCCGCTCCCTTCCCCGGCTCCCTTCCCCCGCTCCCTTCCCCGGCTCCCTTCCCCGGCTCCCTTCCCCCGCTCCCTTCCCCCGCTCCCTTCCCCCGCTCCCTTCCCCCGCTCCCTTCCCCGGCTCCCTTCCCCGGCTCCCTTCCCCCGCTCCCTTCCCCCGCTCCCTTCCCCCGCTCCCTTCCCCGGCTCCCTTCCCCGGCTCCCTTCCCCCGCTCCCTTCCCCGGCTCCCTTCCCCCGCTCCCTTCCCCGGCTCCCTTCCCCGGCTCCCTTCCCCGGCTCCCTTCCCCGGCTCCCTTCCCCCGCTCCCTTCCCCGGCTCCCTTCCCCCGCTCCCTTCCCCCGCTCCCTTCCCCGGCTCCCTTCCCCCGCTCCCTTCCCCCGCTCCCTTCCCCCGCTCCCTTCCCCGGCTCCCTTCCCCGGCTCCCTTCCCCCGCTCCCTTCCCCGGCTCCCTTCCCCCGCTCCCTTCCCCGGCTCCCTTCCCCGGCTCCCTTCCCCGGCTCCCTTCCCCCGCTCCCTTCCCCGGCCCCCTCCGTCCTTCGCAGGACAGGAGGCCTCCTTTGCTTTATAACTTTTCACTTGCACCTGTCCTCTCTCCCACTGCACTGCTGCTTTGACAGAGGTTATGGGCTGCAGGGCTTCTGCCTGTTCTGAGACTGAAACAGGGGAGGAAAGACACAGCCACCGTCCCTGCCTGCAAGAGCTTGGGCCTCTCAGAAGGTGTAGATGCAGGACTGACTGGCCGGTGTCCTCAGAAGCAGTGCCCCCCCCCCCTCCGTCCTGAGTGAGTGGTGTGGAGACAGCTGACCGGCTCAGGTCTCAGGCTGGGAGGACCAGGAACCCCAGAGCCAGCAGCTCCTCTCTAGGGCCCCCTCCTGGCCACACTGTGAACTTCCCCTAGGAAACCCACCCCTGCCCCAGCCCTGAGTCAGCAAACAGAGCCTTGCAAATCATGTCCACTGTGGGGAGTTAGCCCTGAACCCCCCGCCCCCCACCCCCAGGCTTTCTCTAAGGTTTCATTGTTGCCAAAACACATTTTTCAAGATGTGTTCACGCCTACAGTCCCAGCTAGGCAGGAAGCAGAAGTAGGAGGTTACAACCTGAGGTCACCTCTGGCTTCAAGCCTAAGATTCAACCTGAAAAACTACTAAAGCAATAAGAGCTGGCTCAGGTGGTAATGCCATGTCTAGTAAGTGCATGGTCCTGAGTTCAAATCCCACTGCCACACTGCCGGAACAAGCTGGTTTCACATGAGCCAAGTCATACCACAGTCCTAGCGCTTCACACCTGTGGGCCACTCTACTGCATGTGAGCATTCTGAGATTAGTGCTCTACGCTGTGTTGTCTTCATGCAGTGGCCTGACAATGTGTTACTTATTTATGTATTTATTTGTTTGTCAGTCATGGGGCCTGAAGTCTGGGCCTGGGCGCTGTCCCTCAGCAATTCAGCTCAAGGCGAGCGCTCTACCACTTGAGCCACAGCGCCACTTCTGGCTTTTTCTGCTTAGGTGGTGCTGAGGAATTGAACCTCATGCATGCAAGGCAAGCGCTCTTCCCGCTGAGCCACCTTCCCAGGCCTCTCTTACTTTTTATCTCAGACTTTCAAATGTCGTCATCATCAATAGCAGGTGGCTCCTCAATCAGCATTTCCCTGTTGGGGGAAAGACAGAATGCGTGGTGTATCCAGTCGCTGCCTCTCCCCATGTCCCCGCCCCGTGAGACAGGATAGGCCAGGCCTGGCTGCGGCTGTGCACTTTCCGCCTGAGCTGCGCCCCGTTTCCCCCCCCCCGCCGTCCCCCCCCTTCTCTGCTCTGGGTGAGCCTGAGCTGCGCCCCGTTTCCCCCCCCCCGTCCCCTCCCCCCCCATCTCTGCTCTGGGTGAGCCTGAGCTGCGCCCCTTCCCCCCCCCCCCCCCCCCCCCCCGTCTCTGCTCTGGGTGAGCCTGAGCTGCGCCCCTTCCCCCCCCCCCCCCCCCCCCCCCGTCTCTGCTCTGGGTGAGCCTGAGCTGCACCCCGTTCCCCCCCCCATCTCTGCTCTGGGTGAGCCTGAGCTGCACCCTTCCCCCCCCCCCCCCCCCCCGTCTCTGCTCTGGGTGAGCCTGAGCTGCACCCCGTTCCCCCCCCCCCCCCCCCCCCCCCCCCGTCTCTGCTCTGGGTGAGCCTGAGCTGTGCCCCATTTCCCCCACTCCCCCTGCCGTCCCCCCCCCCTCCGTCTCCGCTCCATGTTGGATTCATGGGTTTTCTCTGGGGTTCTGTTCTAGGTGCTGGGGTTCCCCAGTTCCAGCCCATTGCCCTCAATGGCCGGATCCAGGTTCTCAACAACGGCTCACTGCTGATCAAGCACGTTGTGGAAGAAGACAGCGGCTACTACCTCTGCAAGGTCAGCAATGATGTGGGCGCAGACGTCAGCAAGTCCATGTACCTCACGGTTAAAAGTAAGGAAGAAGAACCTTTCCTTTTACCTACATAGGTCTTCGGGGGCTTACATTTGCAATTGTCTTTGAACACACCTTTCAGAGCAACCTGTTACCCAAAAGAGCAGCTCTTGAATTGGCTGTAGCCAAGGTTTGAACATTTGCTGTCCTAGAGAAACGATTGATCAGTGTGGGGAAAAACCCCACCAGGGGTCAGGGGTCAGGAGCAGGCCTAGCTAGACCCCTCGCTCTGAGACGTGGTGCCGTGTCCTCTCCCCTTTGGTGCCGGCTGCCTTTGTACAAGCCCCGGATGGCCTAAAAGATCAGATCCCTGCTTTGTTTGCTGTGGAAATCTCCAACACATGATCTTACATGTGGTCTAGGGCAGAGGCCTTTCACATGCATTTTATTGTCTGCAGACCAGCTTCCTCAGACCTTACCTTTTAGAGATAACTGTAGTAAAGTCGAGGAGCTGCTCAGGTCACCAGAGGAGGCAATGGGAACGTGGTGCCCCGGGCTGACGGTCCGGCTGAGGAAGGGATCATCCTCATGCCCGGGTAGCGAGAGCCAGGAAGGGATGCAGATGGGAGTCCCATTCCTGGATCCTGCTTATTAACTGTGGTTGTGCCTCGTTTGTAGTGAATGACTTTGCCCATTAATGATCATTTTCTATCTGCTGGCATTGATTTCTTTTCAACTACAAGCCTTTATTGTGTTTCCTCAGTTTAACATTTTAATTCTGCTACTCATGGTTTGTGAAGATTCCCTACAGTACTGTGATTAGGAAGACTGGATTTTGAGTGAATTTCAGTGTGTGTGTGTGTGTGTGTGTGTGTGTGTGCGCGTGCGCGCGCGTGCTATGGACTTGGCAGGCCCCTGTCTCTGGCAGGCTAGGCAACAGAGCAAGATGCTGTCTCAAAAGAACCACAGAATGTTTCTCACTGGCCTTCCTCCTAGGAAAGCCTCAGACTCGGGCTAAACTCTCATGCTGGGAAGCATATTGTATAGTTGTGAAATGGGTTGGTCTTAGACATGGATTTTACATCCATATGTCACTTGATTTTGACTTCTTGATTCTCTGTTCTGGAAGGAGTGAATTGCCAAAAAAAAAAAAAAAAAAGAAAAGAAAAAGAAAAAAGAAACCTAGCCATTGATGGTGGCTCCTGCCTGTCATCCCAGCTACTCAGGAGGCTGAGATCTGAGGATCACGGTTCAAAGCCAGCTGGGGCAGAAAAGTCTGTATGACTCCAATCTCCAGTGAACCACCAGTAAACTGGAGTGGTGCTGTGGCTCAAAGCAGTGGAGGAGTAATCTTGAACAAAAACGCTCAGAGACAGCAGCTAGGCCCTGAGTTCAAGCCCCATGACCAACAACAACAAAAACAAAAACAACTCTAAAGGCCAAGTAGGTTAAGAGATCTATCCAAAGCTGAACCTGTGTTTTTTAATTATAAATTGGTGAAACATGAAGACAACTCGAGTTGATGCTAGCCAATGAAAGGACGATGTCTTATTTAATATACCTGAATATATAAAACACCGTTATGCCACAAGTGCATATCTAGGAACGAATTGCAATCCCTACGAAGTGTGTGACATCACTCATCCTGGGTCTCATCCTCACGGGTGAAAGTGCTGTTTGGTGGACCGTGAGTTCGTTTCCTAAGGAATGACAGTGCTCTTGTGCTCCCCTGAAAATGCCCTATTTCCGTTAATAATGTATTAACTGGCTCGTGGTGTTTACTTGTAGATTGATAAATTAGTTCTAGCTTCCACAGATGAAAGCCTGAATCCTGTGTCTCTCTCAATCTGACTGACTTCACCTAAAAGGATTTTTCCCCAGGTCTATCTATTTCTTTGAAAATAATGCAATACTATGCTTCCTAATGGATGAATAAAATTCCATTGTGTCTGTATACCACATTGTGTATAAATATATATATTCATATATACATGAATGGGATATATATATATCTATATATATATATATGTACCCCATTCATCCATTGAGGGGTATCTGGGCTGCTTCCATAGCTTGGCTGTGGTAACTAGTGCAGGATTGAACATGTCTGTAGGAGATAATGTTTTAGAATGTTATAAGTATGTTTTTACATATACAGGTTATATCCATCACATATGACTTGTTGCACTATAAAACAACATAGGCATGGCTTGGAGAGAGAAAGGAAACACGTAATGATTTGCTGGAAACAGCATTTGAGAAAAGCCATTCTGGAAAAGAACATGGAAACTTGGAAGACCTAGAGCTTGCAGGCTCCGTGGAGACGTGTTTTTATCATCTGTGTGACAGAGACTCAATGCCAGGGCTAGAATGGTGCTGGTCTTCCTCGCCCAGCTTGGTCCAGAAGAGTCAGTAGTAGCTGGAGACTTCACAGCTGCTGAATTTCCAAATGCACTGAGAGGGGAGGAGGCGGTGCTCAGCAGGCTGGTGCTCGAGTTCTCCTCTGCTAGGTGTAGACCTGTGGGGCGCTGGGGATGGAAAGCAGAGGCAGGCATACTTCCTGACCCATTTCCAAGGCAGGTCTCCAGAGCCAGTGCATTCCAAATATAAACGTCATACCGGCCTCTTGCTCAGCACCAGACCCATGGGGCTGCAGGGGAGCCTGCGGAGCAGCCCTGGACGGAACGCCGTGGATGGGCTGGAAAATGAATCCTGGACGCTTCTTCCAGCTTGGCTGCCATTCCAGCTGCTGAGCCCAGGCCCCGGTGAGCTGCGTTCCACTCCTGATCTGAGCACAGCAGCGACCACAGGCTAGAAGCCGCAGGCCTTGCTTCCCACCGCGCCTGGACCCCGGCACCCAGGGCAGGACCCCAGTGTTATCCAGCAGTGAGAGCAGAAGTCAGGCCCAGCATCCGCTCTGCCCCTCCCACTACCCGAGGGTCCACCCGGGGTCTGGGAAGGGGGTCGCTCGTGATACGTAGCTCCTGAAATGACTGCATTGCTCCATCGATGAACCACACTTCACTTTTTCACCGTGGCCCACATTCCATCCTCCTGACCCCCACCTGCGGTGTGAAAGAACACTTCCCGGAATTGAATGGAAACCAGCCAGGCCTGCCCAGCCGCCCGCCCTCCCCTCAGCTTGGGCAGGGAGGGTCCCTGTGCCCTTGGGAAGCCTGTGCCTCTGTGAGCCATCCGCTTCCATGGGGACCTGGCTGCTTCTGGCTGGTTCTCTATAGTGTGATGCCCTCAGGGGCCATGCCACACCGAGTGAGATGCACAAGCCGTCCAGTGCCCTCTCCTCCACAAGAATCCACATGCACACCCGGATGTCCGGTCAGCCTCCCGGACCTCCTCCCTCAGACCTGCTTCTGGATGCTCAGATCCTTCGCCCAACCCCAGGCCTGTAGTCCCCAGAGGAGTCAGCAGCCAGCGGTCAGGGGACAGGGACGAGGTTTTAGTGAGCTTCCACACCACCTCCCCGCCTGCGTTCCCTCCTCCGTCAGGCTGGAATTCTATACCTGAGACACTCTGGGGTTAATGAGGAATTTACATCTCGGGAGATGAACAAAGCCCATGCACTCTGACCTGCTTCCATTTCATTTTCCATCCTGACACCTAGCCATTCTTTTAATATTTTTTAAAACAGGCTCTTCAGCCAGTTACTAGCTAGCTACGTTGGGCAAGTCACATGACCTCTCTGTGTCTTGGATATTTCATTCTCAAATCATCTCCAAATGTTTTTGTGTATTTTTTAAAAAAGAAACAGGCCTAAATGAGTTAATGTAGGAATATTAATTGGTGAGTATTAATGAACAGTGATGGAACCTTCCTTTCAGCAATTGTAAAACCTAGCTCCACTCATTGGACTGAACGGAAGTGCTAAAGCTGTGAAGCTCCTAGATGCAAATGAAAGAGTATTTGTAGGTAATGGTTTCTTACACACGATACCAAGAACAGAACTGACCAAAGGCTGAACATGACTTGGGCTTTGTAAATAAATATTAATGTATTTTCTGCATCAAGAAAATGGAAAGAAGCTGGGTGGCTCATACTTGTAATCCCAGCTACTCAGGAGGCTGAGATCTGAGGATGAGAGTTTTTAAGCCAGCCCACACAGGAAAGTCTGCTAGACTCTTATCTCCAATAAACTACTCAGAAAAGGCCAGAAATGGTGCTGTGCTCAAGCTGCAGAATGCTAGCTTTGAACACAAGGAAGCCAGGGACCGTACCCAGGCCCTGAGTTCAAGCGTTAGGACTGACAAAAAGAAAGAAAGAAAGAAAATGGAAAACAAATGTGAAGAATGAGAAAATGTTTTTAAATACAGAAGAATGTGTGAAGAATGAGAAAATGTTTTTAAATGTGTTTTAATACAGGATTCATATCTGAGACATATAATAATAGGAGAAACACCAATTACTCAATTTAAAAATAAAAGCCTTTAAAAGACATTTGCCTAAAGAAGATATTGAATGGACAGCAAACAGCAAGGAAATGCAGATCAAAACCACAATGAGACAACACTGGCCAAGTGGCTAAAACAAAAGTAAAATATAAGACTGAGCAAGCATTGGAGAAAATGCGGGAACACTGCAAATCATGAGAATATAAACGTGTGCAGCGCTATGGATACCAGTCCCTCCAAAAAGTGAAAGGTAGAGTTACTATACTGCCGCGGACCGGGTTCTGTCGGGACGACGGAGGACACCTAAGGGAGGAACCTGGAATAGGTGGGGAGATGGCAAACAGACAACTCACACACACTAGGAGTGGATGCTGAGTGCGATTTAGTGCAGAGGATAACAAACTTTTATAGCAAAAGTCTCCATGAGAAAGGGCAAAAAGTTACACAATCTTGCTGCAGGGCTTCTTTCTTGGGTGGTCACCAGCTGGTCGCCTGAAAGGGCAAAAGGTTACACAACCTTGCTGCAGGGCTTCATTCTTGGGTGGTCACCAGCTGGTCACCTGATAGGCACTTGTTTCCGGCTTATCTCTAAGAAATATAATGGGTTTCGATGTTTTGTCATCAACTAACCATTACCTATCTTTATAGAGGCCT